TTTAAAATAATCTCTTTTTGATTAATGCAACCTTCTAAAAATAAAATGTTACATATAAGGAAAGTAGATGAATAAGGTTAAAAAAGCTTACCATACTTCCTGGTTTAGGAAACAAGAAGAACAGAGAGTTCTCATTGAACATTCTGAGAGCTTGATTGAAATTTTTTCCCAAGAGCTAATTATAAATAAACTAAGAGCTATTATCATAGGATTGACTATATATTGCCTGTCAACACGCCAGTAACTAGAGGTCAAAATTGTACCCAATGTTCTGTTATGCTGGTAAATTAACAATATGTTTACAGAAGGCTACAACTTCTCATCCATCTTTGAGTTTCTTAAGAAGAACTTGGCTACCTTAATATTGCCATGAATTTTTCTGAAATAAACATTAGTATTAATCATGTCTCCAGAATCAATTATCTTTCAATGTGTTTCCAGTATAATAAATCAAATTTTGATTAGGAAAATCTCACAGCAAAATAAAGTAAGAAAAACCCCATATCAGTTTGAGGACTAATATCACTTTTAAAATCATATCCAAATTTCTTATATTTTTTTTTCACAAATGCCATATTCTGAGATGAAACATAAATATCTTTGCAAGTGCATTTCAAAAAAAAAGAACAATTGACTTATATTTTAAGATTGATCCTATAAGAAATTAGATTTTCTCTTTTACAATACTTTATTTTACCATCTTCATTCTCTGACATTAAGCACTTTATAAGGACTGATTATTCAACATCATTAAATTATATACCATTTGTACTTGAATAATAATATTAATTCACTGAAATGATCCACAGTTCTCTCTACCTGCCCAAGCAGTTAGAGTACAAAGTTATATAATGAAACTACTATGCATAATAGACAACTAACATTAAAGTTGAAACTGTGTTTGGGAAAAAAAAAGAGAAATAGTTTTATCACTCACAAATGTTTGCAAGCAGAAATATTTTACAGTCTAAAACTAAACCCTACCCTTTTAGTTTTCAGCATTGAATGCTCACCCATTCATGCCTGATTGTTTCTGAAATCTTACATAAAACAAAAGGTTTATAAAGAAATAGAAAGGAGCTTATTGACATTCTGCCCCCACCCCTGGTGATTTCTCTTCATTCAGTAAGGTCACTAATTTCTCCTCGCAAATCAGTTCCAGAAGTCAATGCAACAAAAATAGAGCCAGAAAGAAACATTAACTCGTTAATTGTCTTTCTTATAAATTGAAGAACAATTTTCTGAAAATGACCATATAACAGCTATAACAATTTCCCCTGCTTTCAGAATGCTCATGTTTCAATTCAAATTGCTTTTGGTCAGATAAACAGTAATGTGTGATGAACGAGTTTTGCTATTGTGGTAATTGGCTGTACAAATATCCATTATTCTAAGGAAGAATGGGGATGCTGTAGCTGCAGCAATATCCCTTTTTTGCAACTCTCTATGGGGGAAATCCAGTCATTAATATAAATGTGGCTCTTAAACCATCAGGAAATATAATAGTACACAATGAAGGAATATATTTTTTTTAAAAAAAGTGTCAGGCTAATGGCAAGACCATTTAAAAAGTAAGAAGAAAAATATTGTTAGACAGGTTTTGCACAAGCACTTTTACCAAATTATTTTGTGATATACACTGTCCAGTGAAGCACCATGCTAGATGGGAATTATGCTTTAAGTTGTCTGCCAATTATTTTTTATCAGTTTATAGTGGTTCTTATGTTAAATTGTTCTTCTGCTGTCACGTAATTCACTTTGATTACAAAATCAGTTTTTTTTTTTTTTTTTTTTGGCCTAGTCACATATAGTACTCATATTGACACAAAAATAACCAAAAACAACTTGCATTCATTGGTGGAGAGACTGAATTGGCAGTCAGAAATTCAATCATAGCTCATTGCTTAAAGGGCACTAAACAGGATTTACAGCAGGCATCAATTTGCACACAGTAGCAACACAAACTTCCCATTAACTGACATAAAAGGGGAGGGGGAAGTAAAGAACAGGTCAGACCTTCTAGTGCACCAATACTGCCACCTTGTAAGATTGGAGACATCACATACAACTCTCATATACTATTATTCAGAGAGTTTACACTTTTTCTTCCAAATGCATCTTGTGTGATTGTAAACAACTGTCCATTTTTTTGTTTAATGGGTCCAAAATACTTTGTTAGAAAACCTGGGGCATATTAAGGTTTTTGTTGTGCATATTTTCAACAATGACTTTTATGATAAAGTCAGGTTACTCCCTCATGTAGATCATTGTTATATAAGAAACAAGACCTGTTAAAAACTATTCCAATGTCAGCTGATCTTTTCAACAAATCATTTGCTGTTTTCTATGAGTTGTGGCTCCTTTCAGAAATCTATTCATGATAATTAATAAGGCTATAAAAGCAGAGACATATTTGTGAATATACAATTTGGAGAAGTAAAAAAAAGTTAAATTAATGTAGATTGAGAAGTCACCTAAACCACAAGATGGGTGTCAAACAACAAACAAACAAATAATATGGTTCTTGATGAACGTATCTTTTTTTATGTACACTGAGAGCATATGCACCAAGACAAATTCCTTGTGTGTCCAATCACATTTGGCCAATAAAAAATTCTATTCTATTCTATTTGTGTTGCATTGAACTTACCAAGAATTTTTCTCATCTTTTTTTAAAAAATATGGTTTTGTACCTGGCTACAGAAATATAAACACATACATACTTTTCAGTGTATGCATGCTCAGAGTCTGTTATTACCTGTGCAGTTTATAAAGCCAATCAACAATCAAACAATTTCATTTTTAATTCTTATTCATCTACGTAAAAATTATTTCATGGTTTCTGTTTGAGGCATCATTACTGTCAAATTTCCCAAGAATGCACAGACTAGGGTTAGTGTCCAGGTCAAAAAAGCTAGGATCCACAAATTTATTGTAATTCAGAAACATTTTAGCTAACCTCTTTCGATAAACTCTTTTTCTTGATGGAAGAATTTCCTTCTCTTTGAAAATATCCACTTGAAATCTGGCAAGTCTCAAAACTGGAAACTCACATTTGAATCTGATCCAAAGTAATATTCACACAGGATATCTATCTGAACACAGATATGCAAATATACATATACATATACACATAAACTTTTATACCAATATATCTATACTGGGAAAGGACAGTAAGGAGAACCAACCATTAAAAGTGTACAATATTTTATATGGAAATTCTAAACTTTCTGCCATTTCAGTTCTGAAATAATAAATTGGCAGGCTACTTCATGTGCATCTTGTATTACTTTCTGATGCATGAGCAGCATGCTTAATTCTTGAATCATCACAACTCTATAGAGAATCACCATACATCTCTTAGTCTTGCTGGCTGTGTGTGTCATAGCCCTCCCAATGCAACTGCATTTGTTCTTTGGACCCTATTTGACAAATGAAGGTCCACAGTCTGTCTTTGTACACCATTTTTATTGTGTAGAGCCATGGAAATAGTTTTTAACTCAGAGTTTATAGTCTGAACAATTTAGCAATACTATAGATTAATTTGATTAGGTAACTTTTGAGATCTCTTTACTCTAATGGCAAATTTTCATGAACTCCATAATGCCTTGATGCTTACCTGGTTCATATCTATGCTAGAGGTTGAAATGAGGTTGAAATGTCCAAAATGGCAATGTAGGATAAATAGGGATTTATTTATATACATTTACAAGGCACTTGCCTATTCTCATATGTAATCACATTACTTTTAATTGCAAAGCAACGTCGGTTGGTCAGAAGTGTAGCCATATTTTTTTTTAAAAAAAAAAGAATATATGGGTCTAAATTAAGCCACCTTGAGCTGTCACATATGAGTAGGTGGCAATATAAATTTTCCAAATTTTTAAAAAAAACATAAATAGTCAAAAAGAGCAATTATACAAAACAGCAGATTCAGTTCTGTCTATTCCAGTGATGAATGGTCTACAGTATTCTTGATGTTGCTTAAATATAGTCCCAAATGTTGAATCATGAACATGTTAGTTCAATAGCTTCTCTCTGTCTAGCTTAGATGAAATGATAGAAATATTTCTCTATGTGAGAAATCCAACAAGCTGAATAGGAATCGACTGATATACTTTTCAGCTCTGTGTGGCTTCATTCACTTAGTAGATATCAAAAGGAAAGCCATAAAATCAGGGGTGAAATGTAAAATTTGTTACTACCGGTTCTGTGGGCATGGCTTGATGGTGGTGGGTAATGTGACTGGGTGGGCGTGACCAACTTTTTTTTTTTAACTTTTCAAAGCATTTTTTCTAATGCTTTGAAAAACCTCTGCCGATCAGGCAACTCAGCTGGGATCGTCAGAGACTTTTCAAAAAAAAATACCTCTCTGACAATTCCAGCTGAGTTGCCTGATCGACAGAAAGGTATTTTTTAAAAAGCCTCTCTGACGATCCCAGCTGAGTTGCCAGATAAGATAATTTTTAAAAAATACCCTCTGCCGATCAGGCAACTCAGCTGGGATCGTCAGAGACTTTTCAAAGCATTTTTTTTACCACCTCTTCAGCCAAGAGGTTGCAGAAAACAATGCTTTGAAAAGCCTCTGATGATCCCAGTTAAGCCACGTGATCATCAGAGGCTTTTGTTTTTACTTTTAAAAGCATTTTTTCATTGGAAGAGGTTGTAGAAAAAATGCTTTTAAAAGTTAAGAAAAAAAGCCTCTGATGATTGTGCGGTTCAGCTGGGCATGGGGAGGGGGGCGCAGGGATTTTTGCTACCGGTTCTCTGAACCACCTGCCGCCATCGCTACCGGATCAGGCGATCCGGTCCGAACTGGGAGCATTTCACCCTTGCATAAAATCTGCAAGATCTTGTAAATTGACATTTAGGTTCATTGGGCATACAGAAACAGACTCAAGTTTTACTTACAATTCTACAGAGCTAATGGAGCCATAGATACAATCACAAACTGAAATAAATACTTACAAAATGAAACAAAACAGAACAGTTCCCCCTCCCTAAGAGTTTCTCTTATTTAATAATTTTGAAAGGGCAAGATTGATACTGCTGTTTCTCATACTATAGATAATGGGATTCAAAAGAGGTGGAATAAGGGAATACATCACAGTTGATGCTAAATTTGCATTACTGGAAGGAGGCTCCAGATGAGCAATGAATGCAGATAATAGGAACATGGAAACCACAATAAGATGGGGTAAGCAAGTAGAAACTGCTTTTTTCCTTCCTTCCAAGGAGCGAATTTTCAGCACAGCAGTGAAAATGGACACATAAGTATAAATAATAAAGAAAAAACAAACAAATCCTAAAGCACAAACAAACACTATTAGTCTGATTTCATTTTGGTTTAAGCCTGAACAGGTGAGTTTAAGTAACTGTGGGATGTCACAGAAAAATTGATTGATGTTATTGGAACAAAAAGATGTTCCAAATGTAAAGCAAGTATGCAATGATCCATTAAGAAGGCTGCTGCCCCATACAGCAAGAATCATGTAAATGCAGGCTTGTTTGTTCATTATTGTTTGATAATGTAATGGATTGCAAATGGCAACGTAACGATCATAGGCCATGACTGTAAGGATCCAAATATCAGATCCCAGAAAAAAGACCAGAAGGAAGACTTGAGAAACACATCCAATATAAGAAATGTGTCTTGTGTTCATCAGCATATTTGCCATGGATTTAGGAACAATGACTGAAGTGGTACCAAGGTCTTGTATGGCTAAATTCAACAAAAAGAGATACATGGGAGTATGCAAATGATGGTTCAAAATTATTGCAGATATGATGAGGAGGTTTCCTGTTAGAATTGCCAAATACAATACCAGGAAAGCAAAGAAATGTAACATTTGTAATTCGTGTATTTTTGAGAACTCAAAGAGCAGAAAATCAGAGACATTTGATTGATTATCCATGTTTTATAATATCCTAAGTGATGTCTCTGGAAAGAAAAGAAATACAATCATTTTGAATGCAGCCTTTCTCATGTCTGTTCATAAGTGCAATGCTAGAAATAAGAGGCCATTTGTTGGCCAATATCTTGGTAATATGTTTGTCATCAGAACTTCTGATGAGAGTCTTAGTCTGCAATTGAATATGTTCAGTGCTATTTCAAAATTCAAACCAGTGACAACTAATTAGAGATAATACCATTGATACTAATTCTAATTTTGCTTCTCATGCCTATCGATTTATGAGCATGAAAATAAAGTCCCTAAATAGATATTTAAAAAGTACTGTTTCAAAAGTATAAGTACAGTTATCAAATTACTGCTCTGATCTCCATAATTTTAAGAACTTTATATCCAATTCTCTGGGCAAATTTCAGTGTATGAATTTGGAATAGCCATTTTGATTTTGTTATGAGTGTTACAATCATATTCAATTAAAATGAGATGAAAATAAAAGGCAGGATCTAATTTCAGGATAAGATAGATAAAGGGAAATACAATATTAAAATGCATATGTGATAAGTACAAAGAATCAGCATTCAGATAAATACATCACCTTTACGTGATACTTCAATCTCTTAGATATAATATAATTAGCTGAATTGCCTTAACTAGTCTTGCTGCCACATTTCTTGCCAGAGTATATGCTCATGTCACAATATTCTCTCTGAGATAGAATCATATGTCCAAGGGCATCATCTAGAAAATAAAGATGATTAAAGTTTGTTTCTGAACATTCCTTCAACACACTGCAAGAAAATATGCATATTAAAAACACAGGTGTTGCTATTCCTATTCAAGTATAATGCTTCTAGTTGTTATTACATATTTGGGATTAGCAAAATAAAATCTAACCTTTGTAACACCATGTGTTTAAACTGTGATTCTGTAAATTATCTTTCTCCTTTCTATTCTCTCCCCTCAAACAAACATCAATTTTGAAGGAAATGTGTTGCTGCATCTAGAGAAAATATTTCTAGATGGTTTCTAAAAGTTTACACAACTTGATGACACATAATCAATCATACTGATGCTGTTAATTTTGTTAACTCAAAAAAATTAATAATTGAAATAAATGTAAACTTTTTTTAAAAAAAGGACAGGCACAAATCACTATGAATACTTGTAAATACATACATACATACATACATACATACATACATACATACATACATACTGGGTTTCCCCAAAAATAAGACCCTATCTTATATTTTTCTGAATCTCGAAATAAGCGCTTGGCCTTATTTTTGGGGAGATCTTATTATTTTGGGGTGTGTGGAGTAAGATGGGGCTCCTTTTGCGATCTTACCTGATTTCCAGCTCTGCATTTAAATATTTTCAGGGAGAGGCTTATTTTAGTGCATGCACTCAAAAGCCTGATTGGGCTTATGATCAGGGGATGTTTTATTTTTGGGGAAACAGGGTACATACATACATACAACGTATGATACATATACACATACATATACGTATACATACATACATACATACATACATATCCTTGTAAAAATAAAATATGAAAATATGAGTAAGTTTCACTAAAGAGGCTAGGCGTGACAGAAATAAAATCAATATTTCATGTGAATATTTTTATTATGGTCACTGACCAGAGTTTTAAACAAAAACACATTAAAAATCAAATAAAAGCATAGCAAGATAAAATAGCAATAGCACTATCACTTGGACTTATATACTGCTTCATAGGCCTTTACAGCCCTTTCTAAGCCATTTACAGTCAGCATATTGTTCCCCAACAATCTAATCATTTTACTGACTTCAGAAGGATGGAAGACTGAATCAACCTTGAGCCAGTGACACTTGACTGCCAACTGCAGGTAGCCGGCAGTCAGCAGAAGTAGCCTGCAGTACTGCATTCTAACCACTGTTCCACCATGGCTAATATTACAATTGGTAGTAGATTCCTCAATGAAAGAGCAAATCCTGTTTAATTTTACAGGCAGTATAAAAAATATTAGTTACATTGAAGGAGACTGAATCATACTGTTCTGATAAGAACCGTAGAGAGGAAAAGAAAACTGTACAGGAAAAAGAATTTCCTGGATGTTTTACAAGGTAAGGAATTAGAAAGTGGATCATTGAGTTCTTATAGGGGGTACAATATAGCAAGATATGAGCTGTAAGTTCAACTGTCTCTTGTCCATAGGGAGAGTCTCAGATCACAGGAATTTGTTGTAGCTTAGTTTGCACAACCTAATTCTAAGCAGATAAAGAATAATTAATTTGAAATTAAATATTTATTCCAAGTTTATACAGCAATGACAAGCAGTTAGGAAATTATTTTTAAAATATGTTTTGATGCGATAGTGAATTAAAAATAAATGATTAGAAGCCCACCATCATCTTTTGAGAGTAAGGCAATCTGAGCCCCCTAGGACTGCCATGAAAATAGTCAATCAAATATTTATATGATAAGCTTTTCAGAAATTTGCAAGTTTACATATCACTCCCTAATGTTACAAATTACATTTTGATTATGAATGTGTCCCAAAATAACAGAATACTTATCATGAAAACAATGTTTTATTTAACTGTATCAATTTATTCTGTTTGTTTATATAAAATTTTGACATAAGAACAACTTTGATTTCCAAAATTTAAAATTATATCTGGAATTTCCTATTTGAGTCTTCTGATCATAAATAAGAGATATTATTAAATTGTAACAGAATAGTGTAAAAAATGTAAATAAACTTGAGGAATAACTGTTTTGTGAAACCAAATTGAAAAGCCTTCTAATTTCATTTATTTTTTTAAAAAAAGAAACTTTCTGTTCTGAAGATAAAAATATACATACATGGGAAATGTATTTGGAAAACCTATTTTGATAGAACAATAGAATCATATTTTGAATTGTTTATCTTCATCACAGCAGTTTTATTTAATGTCTTCTTTCTAATACAGTATTATGTTATCTACAATTCTTAGGTTTAATTAGCACCAGCAACTCAACAGTTGGGTGTTAAGTTATGACAATTTAAAATGAGTTTAAAATGCTATCTCTGAACATTTGGCCTCAAATAAGCAGTTGTATGGTTGCATGTATACAATTTCATGTATACATTTTCCTTTGAAATATTATTGAACATTTCATATTCTCTCTTTTTGCAATAGAAGATAAACAGAACAGAGTGCTATAAAAAATATTTCTCAATATACATTTAAATAACTGACATTCAAACCATTTTATCTAAGGAAATGAGAAATATCTTAACTAATTATTAACTCAATCCATCCAATTCAAGTCCTAATCTTAACCCTTTTGGCTCCCAACATTGCACCTTCACCCAGTCATACCAGATGTTGCTGAAATCTTTCAAATGATGAAATGATTTTCATCAAACTGGCAGGAGTTTTTAATAAATACCCTATGATTTCTAGTGATCTCTTGTGATCCCACAAGAGCTTAATTGGCTTCTCCCAAAGCACTTCATTTCAGAATTCAATCTGGGCAAACCAGGGGCAAAATTCTTTAATTGTATTTTTGATTCTATAATGAAGATCTGTAATAGTTTGTTATGTTTATTGAGTCTATCTTTGAACATATGGCCTCAACTAAACAGTTGTTTGCTTGTACAATTTCATATATACATTCCTGTGTATACTTACAAGAGAATGATAAAGAAATATTCAAGTCATGCTGGTGAACCAGGGTTTGGGCATTTTGTACTTCTCAATTATTTTAATATTTTGTATGACCTTCACATTACTTTTGAGAAAAACAGGCACCAGAAATCATATTATAAGCTCTCTTCAAAGTTAAAGGATAACCCAATTCTCCCATGACTGACTGTGATAACAAGTGGGGTTGAAAGATAACAGACCTGACTCATTTTAGTTTGTTTTTTCCTGCCTATGTGACCTATAGCAGATCAGAGAAATGCTTGTTTTACTGCTATGAAATGTTGCTAGTTATCTACTTAGATATCTCTAAGACAGGGGTGTCAAACTCAAGGCCTACGGGCCAGATGGGGCCCACAGGGTGCTTAGATCTGGCCCGTGGGGCTGCACTGGGAACAGCAAAGGATTGGTCTGTGGTGCCTCTGCCAGCAAAAACACACAGTTTTCAATTTTCAGCTGTGACAGCTTCCGGCAACCGTTTGCTGGTGAAAATGGAGCTCGGGAGGGCTCCTTTTTTTTTTTTTTTTTGCTTTCATGAAATTAGATTGCAAGGCTTGTTCTTGAGCAGCCAAAATGAAGCCTCCTTCTTCTCCACAGGCCATCAACTTAGTTTGCCATAGCTTCATGAAAGTCTTCAGGAATTTCAGGATGTTTCTGCTATTATTTATATTATTTGTAAAGGAGCTTAAACAATTATGACTTCAAACACTGTTCTGAAATTAGAGTAAATCAGCTTTCTTGATTTGATTTTATTCAGTATAATTGACACTGAATTTTCTCAGCTTTGACTATAGTTGCAGCATGGTCACCTTGCAAGTGTTCATGGCTGTCTGCCAATGTACAAATTTAACAGATGTTATAAGAGAGGTTCATCTTCAGGTGAATACCATAGTGCTAAGTGGCTGTGCAATAAATTGCATACCATGCCACTGAATATCACTATAGGACTAGGATATATTAGTTATATTTCTTCAGTCCAGTCACTATCAAACCAAAGAAACACCATTATTTTTATTTATTAATTCCATGTATTATTTTGGCATTCCACTGATTTGTGTGCCCAAACCTCATGTTTTCCATAGGTAAAAGTATCTGATTCTGGTCCATGGTGATTTGGATTAAAAGAATGACCTGAAGAAGAAGGAAGTAAGAAAAAATCCACTCAAAAGTCATAATGGTGATAAGATTGTATGTGGGTGAGAGAGAAGGGGGAAGGGAGGGAGGGAGGGAGGGAGGGAGGGAGGGAGGGAGAGAGAGAGAGATGGCAAAGAGATCTGTCAATTAATGTAAACTAAAACATTTAAAAAGAAGAAGGTAGCTTATGCCTTCTAATATGGGATAAAATAAATCTTGATTATAACCCAAGTTTCTTTTATGTGGCTTGATTGAGCCCTATTTTGCCACCATTCTTGAGAGTTCTGAAGATGTGTCAGATAATACAAAGTGTGTGTTTTCTTCCAGAACGCAGTTGGAGTGATTAATGAGGAGGAGTACTGTTAATTCAGTGTGTTATCTATGTTACAATGAAACTCAGCAGAACTCAAATGTTAATTCAGCATCCTCTACAGAAGGACAGAATTGATTCTGAAAATAAATGTTGTTCCCATCCAGAACCCTTGATGGTAAAGTGCCAAGTCTGGTTAGAGTAAAAGCTTTTCTGTGAAGGACACAGAATATACTACATAAATATTTAGATATAAATAAAGGGCTATTCCAATAGTTACCATGACAAGAGAGTATTTTCTTGTCCTTTGGGAAAACTACATCTAGAATACCTTGCTTGAACTCTTGCAAGACCTTTTTATACTCTAGCGATATCAGTGATTTCACTAAAAGTCCATAGTAACTGGGAAAGAGATCTCTTCAAAAAAATTATGCAGGACTCTAATGGTCTGGATTGTGTCCACCATTTTATATAACTAGAGGCACAAATTTGTGTGCCATAAAGACTGAGCAAAAGAAGACTTATAGTAATGAAGAAATTGTTTTCCAATCCTCTAATACTTGGAAACAGCAAGAAAAATGTTATCTTATGTAGAAAAAGAAAACCAAACTAGATTTACCAACAAATTAGATTTATCAACTATTATGTCCCTGCTGCTGTCATAGTCTTTAGGGTCAAAGTGTTGACAAACAAGGCAAATAGGATCCATTTGCAATTCCTGCAGTCTTAGAAAGATTCAATTTGTAAATAGATTTAAGCCACAGAATCTGAGCTTATTAAAGAATGTGTGTTTTGTTTGTTTGTTTGTTCATTGCTTGCATTCATGGAAGATGCTTAGTCAGTTTTCTTACCCAATCACCTACCCACTCCCAAACCTGTGGGTAAAATGTTACATTTGAATTTTAGGAAATTAAAACCACTAAGCTGTGCTTTGGGATGGTTTATTTCAACACTTTATATATCTAGTCTTCAAATGTCACATTTTCTTAAGAGTGATAATGATAATGCAAAACTGGTAGTTCTTTAAAAATAATAATAATCTTTCTGAGACATCATTTCAAGTATAAATATGTAGGATTGGATTTTTTTTTTAATCCAAATGATTTATTTTTTAAAATGGGAAATTATTTTTTCCTGGGTTCCACTTTGCATTAATACTTTCTTTCTTGACCCATTGTCTCCATGATTGTAGTGTGATACATGTTACTTGTAACAGTTTCAAAATAATTTTATTAACATTCCAATAAAATTAACAGAGATTAATCAGATTAACTACTTGCACAATTAGTTTTTCCCTCCCGTCCTTTCTTCTACATTCCCTCAAATATCAATTTACATTTAAATTATCCCACTAATGAAAAATATAGTCCAGTTTTATCAGTGATCCCATGATTAGAACTTATATTTTATACTAAAGTATGAAAACTCAAATTGATATTTTCTTGGATAATTCTGACATATTTAATAGCTTTGACAAGGCAACCTTGATGTCCTTATTTCTTAAACTATAAATGATAGGATTCAAAAGAGGTGGAGCAATGGAATATAATAGAGTTGTGATTAAATCTGGTGAACCAGAGGGAGGCCTCAGATGAGCAACAAATATACAAAATAGGAAAATTGAAACAACAATAATATGAGGTAAGCAAGTAGAGACAGCTTTTTTTCTTCCTTCCAAAGAACGAATTTTCAGAACAGCACTGAAAATTGACACATAAGTTATAATGATGAAGAAAAAACAACCTATGCCTATTACACAAATGACTATAATTAGTCTGATTTCATTTTGGTTTAAACCATTACAGGTGAGTTTAAGTAGCTGTGGGATTTCACAGAAGAATTGTTTGATTATGTTGGAACACAAAGGGGCTGCAAAGGTAAAAGAGGTATGTAACAATGCACTTAGAAGACCACTAACCCATACAGCAAGAATCATGTAAATGCAGACTTGTTTGTTCATTATTCTTTCATATTGCAATGGATTGCAAATAGCAACATAGCGATCATATGCCATGACTGGGAGTATCCAAAAATCAGATCCCATAGAAAGAACAAAAAAGAAAACTTGACAAACACATCCCAGATAGGAAATATGTCTTGTATTCATTAGAATATTGGCCATGGATTTAGGGACAATGACTGAAGCACTCATAAGGTCTTGTATAGCCAAGCTCAACAGGAAGAGGTACATGGGAGTATGCAGCTGATGGTTGAAAATGATTGCAAAGATGATGATGAGGTTCCCTATCAGAATTGCTAAATACAATACCAAGAAAGCTAAGAAGTATAATATCTGTATTTCTCGTATTTCTGAGAAGCCAAAGAGCAGAAAATCAGAGATTGTTGATTGATTATCCATGTTTTATATTATAATACAGGATATATCTGGAAAAATACAGAGTTACAAGCTAAACAAGAGCTGATTCAGTATATTGACACTACTTTTTGTAATAGAACTAGGATAAGAATGTCATCATTTCTAGATAATATTTTACCTATGTACCATCAGGCTAATGCTTATGACTGTGCCTAACACAGTACTTTTCATTTGAATCCTAATATTGTTTCCTATTCCTCATTAATTCATGAGTATGTAAATTAGGGTTTAAATCCAATATCTTTACATCATTACTTCAGTGAAGGAAAGTCTTCCAAATATTTGATCTTGCTTCCTTAGTTTTACAATACATAATTATCAACCCAGTTCCTTATTCAAAGTTCAGTTGGTGAATATGAAATTACCATTATGGTTACCTGTGCTATGACAAATCACTTCCTTCTTTCTTTACAACAATTCTAAGATTTACAAATTCAGGCTTACTTACTAGTCTTAAAACAGGAAATGTTACCTCTAGGTCTGTGCAACTTGTATTCATTAGAATCCTTTCCAGAATACACTCCAGTATAAAAACATTCAAACTGTAAAAGAAGCAGAATTCAAAAGACATTCTGTGAAGACTTGATAACTCAAACTCCCTTTGCTAACATCCGAAATGCTGTCATTTAAAAATAAATATATTCCTATATCAATACAACTGTGGTCTTGGAATAATGGTTAAATTATGGAGAGAGAAAGGACTTTATGGTAAATTAGTAGGGAGCTGCATTGTGTATATCATCAACTGCTTTCTGTTAATCTGTTAATATAAATACTGATGGATGTTTTTAATTGTAGAATGTCATAAACTGTTTTTTATTGTACCGCAATAAAGTGGTACAATAAAGCATTGTGTGTTTTTGCTCACTTTGCCTGAAATGATGTGAGCTGCCAAACTATGCCCTCCCCAAGTTGTGCTGTCATTACTGCTATCTCTTAATTTCTACAACGTGGTTTAGATATATCTTAGAAAGGAATGTATTTTTAAATGTGATTGAAATAATATTAAACAGCTAAATATATGGAACAAAATCTTTTTGATCAATAGAATTTGTAAAATGATGGATCCTGATTCATTTAATTTAAAGATGAAGAGAAGAAATAATGAATTTCCTATGTCTGCAGATTCCCATTTCATGTACTTTTCTCTCAGTTACAAAACAATTTTCCAAATATTTGAGGATTTAAATGTTCATAATTGTGTGGCTGATCAATAGATTAATTTATAGGAGCCCATCTTTCTGACAATAATATGGTAATAATATCAGAACAAGTCAACCATGAGTTGCCCCTCTTGTGACAGACAGTTTGATATAAAAATGTTAGCAGTAATATATCTGACACTGCCATTTTGTTTAGATGTTGATTTGAAACTGAAGCTAGGAAAATAGATCGACTTTGTAAACATTTGTTACAAAACTAAAGAACTTTCTTTTTTTTAAAAAAAAGTATGCCAACTGAAGTGCATTTTTCCTTCAATACTTACCTTTATGCAAATTTGTCAATAGCATCTTTCTTTCTTTCTTTCTTTCTTTCTTTCTTTTTTTCTTTCTTTCTTTCTTTCTTTCTTTCTTTCTTTCTTTCTTTCTTCAGTTTAAATATAATATAAATGAAATAAATAAATTATAATGTGTTTGTACAATTAATTGCAACTCTGAAATTGCATAAAATTCTATTCTGTGAGTGGAAACATAAATGTACATAAGAACTGGATTTAGTTTTAAAAATGTACTAAAAAAACCAAAACAATAATCAAATTTCATTCATCTGTCCATGCCATTAGAATATGCATTTGAGCGGGGTGATGTCATGGTGTTGCGATCCAAGAAACGGAGCTCCGTCTTCTCGGATCAAATTTCCGCACTTGGAAGCTGGTAACGACGAGAGCTGACCCTGGAGAGGTTAGTTCTATAGAGGGGAAATTCTCGGGGTAAAATTTCAGTGTGGAAGAGACTGGCTGTAATGGTCGGATCTGAAGGCGTGATGGCTCACTTGAATAGAGAAGGAAGCAAGAAGTGGAAAAACAGCTAGAAACATCAGTGAATAGAGATGGGACAAGGTGAGTTACTGGGCTACTTCCTAAATTGGTGGAACTTTAAAGGTGAGACAAGAGAGTCTCTAAAAGGAGGAAAAGTGGTGCATCAGGAAGTGGAGCGGAACAGCATGAAAGAGGTGGAAGAGAGAAATGGAGAAGCTGAAAGGAAGAGAAAGGAAGGAACTTGAATTCCGGTAAAGATTGGCACTAATTTAGTGGGATTTGAAAGTGAAAGAAGGTGTAACGAAGATGGAGTGCGGATTAGAGTAACAGCAACAGTAACAGTGCATATTAAGAGGAGCAGACATGTTGGATGAAGAAGTTAGAAAGTAGTGAATGGAAGAGGATTGGACAGTGCAAGGAAGTAGGAGAATGAAAGACTTGTTTAGAATCATTAAAAAAACTTAGGCTGGGGAGATTAGAAGCCAGAGGTGTATATTGTGTATATTGTTTAATTAGAGGTAAGTAATATGGTATATGTCTAGGCTTTTTCCATTTTTATTATTGTCATTATTTGTTATTCAACTGATTCTTGAAAATAGTGATATACTACAAGATAGTGTAAATAAATAGATAAATTTAGCTGCAAATAGGGGTAAACAATTTATATTTGGAGTAATTATTACTACTGTTTTGCCTTGTCTTTCTGCTTATATATCCTTTCTTTATTTTGAAGTAATATACTCTTGTTTACTTAGGTATTGTTAATTGAATTTAGAGTGAAAATTGATATTGATAAGGTTGGAAGATAGAATTAATTATTAATTATTCTTTTTATTATTAATTATACTATTAATTAATTATGCTATCTAATTATTTAATTATTTAATTATTCTAATTAATGAATTCTAAAAGAACTGTAATTGAGGGAGTATGTAATACCTAAAAGTAGATAGAAAAGATAAACCTCAGGAGTAGGAAGGAAATAGATTTTTGTATGGTTTTGTGGAAGAAACTTTTTGGGAAATTAGATATGTCAAATATAGCAACAGTAACCAAAACTGCAAAGAAAGTTACACAAATGACTGCCTCTCCAGCAGGACAAAAACTGATAGGAGATATGTTGGGAGGTGAGAAAGCAGGGACATCAACAAATCTACAAAGCATGCAGACAACTCTGAATATGATTCAGGAGGTACTTCTGAAGATTCAAGAATTGATTGGAAAGAATCATGAGGAATTGAAAAACAACATGGATGAAGTTAAAGGTGACATAAGAAAATTAGATGATAGAATAGGAGAAATACAAGAGACAATTGTTAAGAATGAATAGAGGATAAAAATAGTGGAGGAAAGAACAGAACAGACAGAAAAAAACTGGATGAGACAGAAAAGAAACTGATAGCAACGAATTGAGAACTTGAGGAGGCAATAATGTTTCTGGAAATGGACAACTCCGTGTTTTACTTATGATTTCAGAATATAAAGGAAAATAAAGAAGACCACCTGAGACTTATGATAGAGTTGTTGGCTGGTAGTCCGAAGATGAATAAGAGTGAGTTGCAACATGGTATTGATGAGCTGTATAGGGTGCATACTAATTATGCATGGCTGAATAAATTGCCATGGGATATACAATTTACTAAATGAACAATTAGAGACAAAATTTACAGGAGAATGTGAGATACAACATTGACATATTAGGGGAAAGAGATTCTGACTCTTAAACAAATACCCACGGGGTAAGGGAGCAAAGATGGAGTTACCACTTTCTCTCCTCCCAACTTATCAAATATAAAATCATGTTTTGGCGGCTTATCCCAGAGGCTTGCTAGTGACCTGGCAAGACAAAAAAATTAGATTAGATACAATAGGCAACACCCGGGAGTTTTACAAACAGTGTATAGCAATAGATGAAGAAAGGGAGAGTGGGGAGGAGATAGAGGATAAGAGTCAGGAAGAAGAAAAAGAATTGGAAATGGAATTACAGGAGAAGACTGAAAAAGAGCAAAAGGAAAGAATAGGGACAAGGTCAAGGACACAAACAGAACCGATATTAAGGAAAAGAAACTAGGGTCATCAGTAGAAGGTAAATGGACGAAGAAATTAAATTAATTTCAATCAACATCAATGATTTAAATTCTCCAGCCAAAAGGAGACAAATTCTAGCTAAATTACAAAAGCATAACACAAATATTACATGCCTAAAAGAAACCCACATCAAACGACAACAAAGACACCTATTGGAAGCCCCTAAATTAGGAAAACTCTATTCAGCTCTTGAACCACAAAAAGAGAGAGGAGTAGTTATATATATTAAAGATTGGTTACAACAGAATGTGCATTTGAGTGAGTGTGTGTATGTGTTTGTGTGTGTAAAATGTGAGACTATTCTGCATTTCTTCTGTTAAATATTCAAAGTCTTCTTACCAGAAAGGCTGCCACAAAATTAATTGCCACAGAAAAAAAAATGAGTATTATGGTTGAATCCTTTTTTGATCTTGTGTTGTTCCTTTGCTCTCTATATTGCGGAGGGGGGGGGGAGCAAAAAGCCCTACTAAGCAGGTATATACAAAAAATATGAAGGCTATTGTTTAAAAGCATTGTAAGCCTCCCTGAGTCTCCGGAGAAGGGCAGCATATAAATCAAACTAAGAAATAAATATATATATATATATTGATCTAAACATGTTGTATGAATGTATATGCACATCCGTATGGCATACAAGGGAGAAGAGTGCAAATAACATGACAAATAACATGACATGCATTTAGACAAGTGATATTCATGCCAGCTTCCTGAAGAAGCAAGCAACTTTGTTACTTACTAAATATTTAGCTGTACTGGTGGCTTACAGTTTACCTTCATGTATATTTTTGGCTTCTGGATGCAAATTTAGCCCTTAACATTTCTTTGGTCATACCTGATGTTTTTAAATTTTTTCAGATGAAGAAATTTTCACCAAAGAGGAAGGTGTATTTAACATCTCTTTGCTGCCCCAGGAGTA